AAGGTACGCTACTAGGGTTTATACATACAGCTTTTTTAAGTAGCAGGAGAGGCTACAGTGCACTGGGTGATACAAATATTTTATCAAGCAAGCACTCCTCCACTTTTGAGACCTTTCAGAAAAAAGTCCCTCATGCAGGGCTCCATGCAGAAACATTTGGGTGCTGCACCCCTATAAAGGATGCAAAGCAACGGAAACCAAGGACATGGCAGGACGTGACATGGGAGGTGAAGGGTGGATTCCCTAAAAGCTCTGAGCACAACTGAGGTGTTCTGATCCAGGCTAGCACACAGCAGAAACAAACACAAGTGAGGGCAGTAAGCCTATCTCAGGCTTTTTCTCGTTTAATTTCAGGTTAATCATACAGCATTTGCATACAACCTTGGAAACAGAAGCAAAGCTCTAGTTCGTTAACAGCTAAGCGGAGATACTGCTGCATAAGCAAGTACCATGCAACTGAAGGAGGCAGAGAATGGGAATAGCTTTTGGCTGCTACCTCAGGTTTCTGGTGCACACCGAGAGACAAGGAGACAGAACAGTTCAAGGATCACTTTAAGCTCTGCAAGCTGACAGTAATCTCTAAAGGCCCATAACATACCAGTGTTCTCCAGCAATCTGGAACAATACCTTCCGATCCCAACACGAATGACACCAAACAAAGGACAGTCAAGCAGCTCGTGCCAGCTTTGTGTCATCGGAGAACAGTGTGGGCTCAAGAACGCCGGCGAGGCCAAGGATCTGACTCCCGCTGTGGTTTGGGTAGGTTTCAACTCCTCGCAAGAACAAGGTATTTTGGGAGAGCCCTCATGCTAAAATGAAGTTTCTTGGAGTGGGGGCAATCTGGGCAGCTGGAGGGACTGATCATGCATTAAAATGGTACTTTTCTACTCCTCTGAAGATTATGTTTTCATGAAGGTCTTAAGTCAAAGACAGCTAAAATATTAAGTCTGGTTTTGTTCTGGTCAGTTTGGTGAATTCCACTGAGTTTGAAGCAGATACAGAATAATTCTCACAACGAAAAGCATTTGATTAACTCAACAAGTTGACATATGGCTTATGCAGAGAACAGACTTAACAGACTTCCAGAGCTGGAACCGCCTTTTCACTTTAGACTTAGCTCCTCAGAACAGCCTCAGGGAAGCCCAAACACTGCCCACACCACTGCTTCTTATTGCCAATGGGCTGCTTGGGACTGTGCTGAGGCACTACTCATCTGGAAACTTTTGTGGACAGTAATTAAAAAACCTACAACTTGATGGAGTTTATATGCTGTATCAGTGCTGCTCATCTGACTCCCCTGGTGGATACAAGAGATTTTGTGTAAGAACACAAATATTACTTTTTCTACTACTATTTAAGCCTGCTACTGCATATAGCAGTTGTAAATAGTGCTGACCTGATTACAACCTTATTCTCATGTAGTAATAATGTTAATCTTGTGAACTGGTACAGAAGTTCCCCAGCACCTTATCTGTATTACTGGATTCAGGATTATGGTCAGCTATGCGTAAGCAGTTTCTACGGTGTTGACTAGCCCAGACTTAAACAGATTTTATTTTTAACATGGCAATATCATACAGAGGTAAAATAAACCTCTGTGTTATGAAATTAGCTCCTACACTGCAGGCAGCCTACAGAAATAAGCGATTACCTCATTTACTAATGACTCGTGAGAAACAAACTCCATATGTATGTTGTTTCTTAGCTACTGTTCTAGAAAGCGGCTCAATCTGCTAACTGAGCACAGTAAATACCTAATTAAATTAAACCTCCAACAAGCCTGAGAAAAATGTATTGAAAGCACTCTGCTTGATTACAGACATTGGTCTAAAGTAACAGACCTATTGATCTGGTCAACTTCAAGCTTATTCGCTTCACCCAATTTAATTTCAGAAGAACAATAACTACATTTTAGTTGGATCTCCTTTCCCACTCTCCAGGGAAATAATCTGAAGTGACTCTAAGTTCAGGCGGCATACAGAACATATTTAATAGGTCAAAGAAAACATTTATTTTGTTGCAACTATGGACACAAAGTTACATTAAAAATGCAAATATGGTTTGCAGTGCAACAATTACATAGTGTTGCTGAGGGGGTCATATGCCATGAACAGCCTTCTCTGGTGGGGGCAATAAACCAGTTGTTCTGCAAGTTCAGGATGATATTAAAAACCATATTTCAATGAAGTCCTCTATAGGTGCAAACTAAATGAAAATGACTGAAAAAAAAAACCACCTGCCAGCTGTGCCTGAATATAGGGGCTGCTTGATTTTCTTATGCTCTGTGCCAATCCAACATTAACCCTTCGTCTACTGGGCAAGACATCTATCCCATCTGCTCAAGAAGAATTTCCTCAATTAAAGAAGAATGAACATTTAAACTGGCTTGCTGCATACGAAAGACAGCTCACAGTCTCTACAGAGCAATTCAAGACACCCTCTCTGGGGTCAGTCGTCTGAACACAGTTCGGGTCAGGAACATCCCACTGCTGCTATCATCTGACAATTGCTCTATCTAGCCACTTACATGAAACAAGTTGGTGGCCTCAATTCTGTTTCCACCAGAGATACTGATGTCTCTCTGTTACGGAAGCAACACAGGCAGCATCCCTGCTAACAGTTCCAATAGACAGGCCAGCAACGACTAGATCAGCATGATTAACACACTATCCTTTCAGTCCTAGGCCATGCCTGTACTAAGGAAATTGTGAAATAGTCAATAACATAGCCAGTGCTTGTGTGGCTCCACAAATGTCTGGTTCACTGGGGAATCCAATATAGACTGACCAAGTCAAGAAATATCCGCATACACAGAACTAAACAGCATTTTCCTCATCATCTAATCCACCCCTCTGCTACTGCTGGCAACCAGACAAAACATAACAGTTTTGTCAAGAGATACTAAGGCTAGCTCTAGAATTAATGCAGTTGTATTAACTGGGCCAATTAAAAGTACACCTTTTTTGCTTTCCTTTGGATACAATCTTAATGTAACAATCTGGGTTTTAGTAGGTATCCTTGCATAGTCATACATTTCATTATACAAACACAACTTTGATATTTTAAAGTTCCATTTTCAAAGTAGTTAGTCAGTAACCATACTCCTTACTGTTTCTTCAGAACCACAATCCTCTCTGTTAGACACCTCGTAGTGTAATTTCTGGCCTAATATAGCCACGAGTCGTTTATATTAATCTGTTCTTGCTCCAGTTTTGTCCCGAAGTTTGAAGAGCCATTAGCTCCCATTCTTACTTGCTTTCTCCAGCACTTGTAAAGAGAAATCAAATTCAGATTTTGCTTTGCCAAGTTGAACAGGAAAATCTCTTTAAGTCAATTCTCCAAGTAAGCCGCCCATTTCTCTGACCATCTTCTGCATCTTTTTTTGCCAATTTAAATGGAACCTTTTCAAGCGTAAGAGATAAGAACTACATATAACATTCCAGATCAGATCTCACCACTCTTTATACAGTCCTTCCAATCTCTACTGGAAATATCTGGTACATCATAGTATTGAATTTGCCACCATGCATCCACAGCTCAGCCATGCTGATCCCAGAGGGTACAAACACAAATTCTTCCCCCTTTTTTGTTTTTTAACTGAGGAGCACCTGGCTGTCAGCATAAATTCTTGTTATCAATCTCTTAGACACCTTAACTTGCATTCCATACTTCTCAAAATTTAAATCTTTTTCTATTAAATCTATCCTCAAGGCCATCTATTTTTTTCTTGTTTCATATCTCCATATTGATCTGTATCATCTGCAGTGTCAATATCTGCATTTGTGTAGGCAAATTTCACAAGCACATGTTTCTATTCTCTGCCCGCTTGCCCCCCGCAATTCTGCAATAATTCACCAGGCGCATAAATGCTACTTCTGTAGCTCAAGGGGTAGTACTGCCTCTGTTTAAAAAGAAGTGTAACTATAAAACCAGTCCAAAAACATCAGGACTGAAAATGACTTACACTTATGGTATGTAAGAAAACTAAACTTTACAAAGGAAAAGTTGAAGTGGTCTTGTTTTATATGATAGCAGATTACTACTCTTCCCTCATCACATGTACCTTTTTTTAGTGTTAAGAGAGGCTAGAGAGTTTTGCAAAGGTAATTTGTGGCTCGATATCTGAAGACTGGAAGTCTCACACAATGCAGCATCATGCTAAAATGATACTCAGTACAGAACAATGTTGGTTTAGAAACACAGTATTTGCATAAAAGGTCGCTCTGCTGCCAGTAGGTAAAGAGCAATACTTCCAATAATTTTACCAAGATACAGTGGCCTAAACTGTCACTCAAATTGAACACAAACGTGAAACTGCCTGTTTTAAAAACAAAATTATTTCATATCTAGCCAAAACTCTGCAGCTTTAACAGGGATAAAGCAAACAAATTCTAAAAGTAACAGACACTGAGGTCATGTTCTGTTGGATCTTTCATCTTTTTTGTGAACAAATTTCCATTTTTTTTTACTTTGGTCTCCACACAAAGTGCAAGGCCTTTATCTGACCTTGCAGTATCATAAAATGCACATGGGGAAGCAGGACATGGCTGGGACTACTCATTGTTCAGTTCTGAGAATTATTACCCACTGACAGGAGTCCTGCTCATTTTCTTTTTCCCAATCACAAAGTGAATTCCCATAAAAACCAAAGAAATATTTGTTGTTTACAAGGAAAAAAATGCCTCACAGGAAAATTAACTAAATGAACATCTGCTTTCTCTATAGACAAGTTACATACGCTTCCTCGGAGGTGAGTATAAGGTTTTCTGTTAACACATGATTTCTGACATCAGGTTGTTGTACACCTTGGCTGTCCATCACACACTCTTTTTTCAATTATGTTCAGTTTTGTCCTAGTTCTTTAATTTTTATAGCTTTGCTTTAAAAACAAAAAGCCCTACAGCCAGTACAGGAAGTGAGACTAAGGAGAAGCCTGTTCTGGTGACAAAATTATACAGGCCAGGAAGAAAAAGAAGCCATCATCTATGCAGCAGCCTTACCCTTCTACGCAGTCGGTCCCTTTCTTCACGAATAGCGTTCATGGTGGCCTTGGTCCTGTTCAGCTCCTCCTCCTTGCTACACAGCATGGCTGTGAGGCTCTCATTCTCTTCCCGCAAGCCAGCTAGCTCCTTTTCCCATCGAGATCTCTCTTCAGATAGATTTGGATAAAGGTCACGTCCCAGTACACCCTCAATCTCTTCTACGGTCTGCAAGAATACAGTCGTCAAAAAACAGAAAGAAGCAGAGTAAGATGACTGAACAAGACTAACGGTAACAGGACAGAAGTGTGTAACAGGCAACTATATATATATATATATACTTACATGTGCACACCCAGCCCCACAACACCATTAGTTTGCTTCTTTTGTTTGATAAGTAACATGAAACAAAATTATTGCTTATTTTGTTTGATATTTTGACCATTTTATGACAATATTTCATACTGACCAACACCAAAGCAGACGGATGTCTTATATGCAAATAAAACATAGGTCACTCATGAGGAACAGCAATCCCAGTGGTTTCATCTCAGAACACTTTAAAACAAATTAATGACTCCTTGTCATGAGTGAGCACTGTGCTTGTTGTTTCCCTGCCTGAGTAACAGGCAGAAAGTAGCAGTCTGTGAATGTGCACGGCATGGGGCCTTTCTTGGTTCTAGACCAACTCCACAAAAGGGCAAGGAAAAGAGTGGGACAGTAAAAAAAGAGGACTCTTCTTTCCCATGTCCCTGAGCATGTTCTTTCCTAGAGGTGACAGAGAGATAAAGAAAGAAAACTGGCCTTGGCTGGGCTTACATTATACCAGAAGATGTTACAGCCTTTCTAGTGCCTAAAAAAAGGCTGGGTTTCTCTGGGACACAGAATGCCATTCAGCATTTCCCACCCCATCCCCTTGCTCAGAACTGTGCCTTGTAGGCACCATTCAGCATGAAGGATATTCAGCAGCTTCCACTGGGTGAAACTAAACTACACACACACACCACCAGCAAGGGAATACTGCCATGCCTAAATTTACTGTCAGACTGGTCATTCAACATGTTGAAACACAACATAACACTCAAGGTGTCCGGTAACTACGTGCAGTTCTGATTCTACTACACAGCGTATGCTGTGCCCGTGTTACATTTTTTCACTTATGGAAGACCTTTGCCAGAAGCAAACCCGCTCCAATTGTTGCTTATAAGCTTTTGAATCTCCTGAAAGCAGTCTGCATTAAAATGGTAGAAAGAAACATGGAAAATAAATTAATATATGATGTAATGAGCAACCTAGAAAGTTTCATTTCATTGGATAATCCAAGAACAAGTAATAGCTAAAGCCTGTACTTTTAAGTTTAATATGGAAGACAAATAACTCATGCACCAAGGTTAAAAATAGTCTATTTAGTTGTTTTATTCAAAAGGACTTAATTTTTATATACAACAAAAATTACTAACAGAAGTTCGTGTCCTTAATTTGGGAGGGACTAAAAGAACCAACTAGAGTACAGCTGAAAATGACAAACCAAGTTGAAAATACAATTCCTTTTTTTTCCTGCAAAAAATCTTCCCAGTGTTTTCAGCACTGTCTGACACTGAGCTATCAGTGAAATTTTATTATTTTTCCATTATAATGAAAAGTTGTTTTTTTATTGTTATCAACACATTAATCTTAAAGAATAAATCTTGGCTACAGCAAGACTCCTTAGTGAGGAAGAAAAAACACTCATACAAAAGGAAAAAAAAACCCCTATTTTTAACAAGTAGTTCAAAACACCTCTATGGAAAAAGCAGAGACACAAATTTTGCAATCAGGTTCAGTTTATCCTTTTAAATCATATTTCATGTCTCTCTTCCATAAAATTGCAATACGTTTAGGGTCATAAACGTAAAACTCCATTGACAGAGTATCTACACCGTAATTCTGCTTACATATTTGGTAGTAAGCTTAAATTACTTTTCTAAAAGAGCAATGCCTTGCAACATCTCTAAGATGAAAGAAGCTGCAGCTCTCCCTTACATTTCACTTGGACCTGTATGTCTCAAACTATGACAAGGTAAGTGATTTCAACACAGCATGAGGATGAGTTCAAGTTCTGAATAAGCATAGGGCGGATAATCTTACAATGTGAAGAAAAGCTCTGTAATGGCAGGAGCATTCTTTCTTGATGATGCCAGCTTTATTTTAAACAGTGCCTCTTTGTTGCTGTCTTCTCCTCTCCCTTCTTCCCCCAAAGCTCCTCTCCTCTTTCACACACTTCCCCTGCTGTTTCCTCGCCCCTCTAATGCCAAGTTCTGCTGCTGCCTCCTTCCTCCTTATTCCCCATGCTCCTAGAGTTGCTATTTTTCCAACCCCTCCCTTTCCCAAGCCTCTTCTCCTCCTCAGAGCACTGCTGGGGGTGATAAGCCCAGACCAACGCTGAAAGAGGAAGGACTGTCATGAGGAAGCAGCAGCAGTGGCTCAACACCATGGAGGTATCTTCAGACAGAGAGGCTGGGGGTGGTTTTTTTGACTCCATTGCTACCATTTGGCCACACAAGTACAAAGTTCAGGCAGTGACAGCATCAGCATGGGTCTGACAGTCATACTTAAGGGCTGCCCTGTAGTCCTTAACAAAGCTGAGGGACCTTTCTGCTTGCTTCTATGCTCCTTCGTTTTGATGTGGTCAATATCCTTTTGCTGACTAAACTATTACCACAATTCTCCGGTTTGATGACCGACGTGCTACCATCCTCCACAGTAAATAAAACATAAATATTGTATATGGATATATCTACATAAACTATTGTGTTGTTTATTTTTCTTCAAAGCAGTATTACAGAGCAGTTTTATCCGGCATGCTGCTGCACAGCAGATAAATTGCATGGATTATAGGATTGAATTGCAATGTAATGTTCTGAGCACAGGGCAGGATGTCATATCATGGTAATTCCAGTCTTGTGTCTGACATTGCTATCAATACTCTCTGCCTTAGTTTCCTTAAAAGATGTGTTGTGTTACAGACATCGTATCAGATGAAATCAGCAAGTATCAGGTTTAGAAGAAGCAAAACGCAGCACTTTTTCCAAGGCATAACTCAACGGTAGAATTTATTCCTACCAGAATTTATGGAGGCCAAAAATTTAGATGGGTTAAAAACCACATTGGATACGAACATGGAAGAAAATTCCACCCATGACTATTAAATGCAAAGACATCATCTCTGGCTCAAGAAGTTCCTACACCCACCTTGCTGGAAGCATCTTTGAAGGAAGGAGAAGGAGGACATATTATGCATGTCCTTTTTGATGCAGTCTTTCCATTGGCATCTGCCACTAGACAGACGGACTTCTGGTCCGATCCAGTGCAGCTGTTCTCATGTTCTGAATGGTTCATGTTTGGAAATATTTACATCTTTTTTTAATTGCTACAGTTTTAGTGGTAGGTATCTGTTAGTGAGAGTTATTTACTCTTCAAAATATACCAAGCATTAACCAGTCTACTCCGTGGAAATTTTCTTAAACATAGGATAGTTTTGTAACTGTTCAGTTTGTCATACAATCTGATAAATCTCATTTCAAGGTCTTCTCATTCTTTGTGGGACGGAAACAACTGAGCTAACTAGGGTCACATGATTTGTATAAAAGAAACAAAAAACATTTGCCAGCAACAGCATTAAAAGAAACCTGGTGAAATTTAACCATCAAAGCAGAAGGATTCAAAACATTTGAATGCATTAGTCCACCAGTGAAGAAAAAAGCAAACAGTCAAAGCAAAGACAGTCAGAATATTTCAGATTGCTGTTCGTGATTCCACTTGTTTTAAACATCTCTCAGTTCTCTGTCTGAGGAAGCAGAAAAGGCGAAATGACCTGCAGCCATGGGTGGAATTGTGGAGAGGGGCTCTATGTGTAGGATTTGCTTTATTATACATATTGGTGACACACTTCCCTAGCACATAATCAGAGCTTGTCAGAGAGATTCCTACCTTCCTGAAAGGTTAATAACCTTTGCATGCTATCACTTGTCAAACACAAACAATCCCGGGCTCTACATCATGGGCAGTGGGCAAAAGCCTTCCCCAAAACTGGCTATGCATGTAGAGATCGCATGAAAATAAAAGGCCTGCATTTTGGACCAGGAAGAAGCTGCTGACAGTTACTTATCATCATAAAAGCTTGACTGTAGTTAATTTGAATCAACAGTAAATAAAGGGGTTAAAATAAAAAGCTTGAGAACTAAGCTTATGGCAGCTATTTTGACGTTTTGTTGAACCCACCTCCTGCAGAAGTTTTCATCTCCTCTCACTTCAGAGACCTCTGTGGACCTCACACAGACCAATCTCTACCTGTTTTCCAGGATCCACCATCTCTCCCTTGGTGGACACTGACTTCTGAGAACACTTAACCCTAAAACTCCAGATAATACTGGGTAACATTCAAAGTATTGATCCTAATCCTCTGAGATACTCAAATAAACTGCTTTAAGACTGTTCCCAAGAGACCCAGAAGTCAGTCTGTCTCTCTCTCTCTCAAATATACACACATTCTTCAAACTACTATTCAACAGTAATTTCTGTATAGGCCATTCTGTTCCTGAGGCACCACCAGGGACAGAGAGGACCTTTCCCAGTAGTATGCCAAAGGGCTGTCTAAGCTGTCTAGAATGGTCACGGACCTCCTCACTTCAAGAACAAACTGTCAATATATTTGTTCTTATATAAACGAGTCACTGATGCCTTTCCATCTGACACAAAAAACTTGTTCAGCTCTTTC